TTATTTTAATGTCTCTTTGTGCAAAATATGTATCTCCACAGTTATTGTTCAGTTGCACTATGACAAAGCATGTGGAGAATCTGTTTTATTTTCACAAGACCTCTTCATGTGCATCTTTATATAGAGATATCTCCAGAGTTGTATGTATTGATTGAGCTCCATGGCAACACGCATTTAGCATATCCCACACAACACATAAAAAAAGCAAATGTCAAATGCACAGTTTATCCTTCCATCTTGGTCTTATGTGCATCCCCTTTTCTCTTTGCTGAACAGTCTCATCTCAGCACTTAACCTACAATTTGCATAAGTCATTATGGCTGCGAGGAGTGAGGAGGCTATAAATTCTGCTAAGTGTTCATCCATCGTTTGTAGGTTTGAAAATACCCAAGCAATTTTTTTTATATTTCTTTGACTAATGGAGACAGAAAGTACATCCGTCGCTGAAACATAATTTATACATTTGATGAGCTAAGCAGTTTCTACATTATATTTTTTAATTCACGTGGACAGACAGTACCTGACTGGTGCGGGGAATCTTAACAGGTAACATGTGATTTTGTTTCAAGTTATTCTGAAATTTTTTACAGTATTGTTTCCGTGGCCAGTTGAATCTAACAGAAATATTTCTTTAAAGCCCCCCCGGAGAGCAATGCTTTCTTATTGAATACTTTCTCCTCCTGCCAGCATCAATTACAGCAAATGTTTGTTCTCCCGAATTGGAAGCAGGGGTATCTCTCCCGCTCCATCAATAAACAGAGACCAGAACAACGGTGGTATCTTGCCGTGAAAACAGGAAACTCAATAGAAGCGCTGCAGCCTTTTTAGAGAAACATAGATTTTCCTCCAGCACTCCTGACAGATGCTGAAGTTAAAGTGTTTGTGCACAGCTGGGACTCCGGAGAGCAGGCTGACTGTGTCGCTCAGTGTGTATCTGTGTGTGTGTGTGTGTGTGTGTGTGTGTGTGTGTGAGGCTTGTCATCCATGCCACATCAAAGAGCTGAGTTGACATTCCTGAGTCAGTGACTGCAGACTGGGAACAACAGAGACAGAGTGGAAGTGTCCTTTTTAATGACATAATGCATGTGAGAGAAGAACTTGGAGAAGATGAAGCTGTCCGCACTAATGCGACAAGACTTTCTCCACAGTAGTACAGCTTTCAAAGGGAATGCTTTTTAGAGAAGCTGCAATGTTGGGAACCCACAACAGGGCAAAAGATGGACAAATTATGTTGTCATCTTTCAATGGTGATCCAGTAAGGCTGGCTTAGATTTAATGGAAATTGATCAAATGGAAACATCCATTTTTGAGTTGAACTGAAAAAACTATGCACCTCCTATTACCTTCCCTGCCTTTTGCAACATGCACACACATAGTTACATACATGTTTGCAAAGCTGAATGGCCCAAAGCTTTGTCATAAGGGACAAACACTTCTACTTGTGTTGTTTACTCCTTAACGACCACTACGTTGCAGTCATATCTGCAGACCAAAGCCAACTGAATCGGAGATATTGTCACTCGCCTAATTAAGGCGCAGTTCCTCGCAGAGCTGAGGGAGGGAGCGTTTCATCATCCCTGCTTGTACTTTCTGCACCAAGAAGCCGAATGTTAAGCAGGTCTTCCTAAAAAATCTCTGCGCTCGTTGACATAAAGCGCATCTCCCCACTTGGCTCACTCAACACGTCCATAATAACAGTCATTATCTTCAGCACACATCTTTCTGCTTCATTTAAGCCATTCTTAACAAGGGGTATCTATCACGGAGGTGCTACTATTCTGCGGTCGCACTGACCTGCAGCGCTCTGATTTATTCCTGACAATCTCCTCGGCCCTTTCTTTCGCTTTGCTGCGGAACAAAACCGCCACTGTGAACCTTTTTAATTATGAAGACATAATTTAAAACATCAGATCAGTCCTAGGTCGTCGCTGGACAGGGTGACCTAAGCATCCGGCAGGCTCTCCATCTTATGGCTGAAGTCATTTTTCCAATGGAGATGAGGGCATGTTAATAGGGTAGGTAAATAAGGGAAGTACAGCTCAAAGTATATGTCACGGTTCTAAAATTGTTAACTGATAATGCTCACTCCACTCTGCTGAAACATTTCTTCTTGTTAGAGCATACATGCAAGTTGTTGTCATTTCTCCATCACCAAAGTGGAGTCTTGCATTAAATTTACCATCGTGTGTGAGATGATCGGTGGTGCTGTTAGGCACACACAGCATCATTATTTTGATTTTGTCCTCCTCTGCTCCTGTTGACTCGGCGAAGCAGCAGGACACTGAGTGATGAGGGCGAGGAGATGCACCCGGCTCCGCCTGGACAAACACGAGGACGGCTTTACCTTCCACTACACTGTATTAAACCAATTATTCACCATCAGGGATTGTTTTCGGCGACAGTGAATGTTTTGTTTACTCGGCTCAAAAATGTAGCGAATGAGGGTGTCATCTACGGCACAGGCGGCAGAGATTGTAAACATGTTTTTCTCTCCCCTCCCTACAAGAGGACAAATAAAAAAGGCTGCCGTTAGAAGATTTAATTCTGAGAAGCTCTCTCTGGGGCTCTGGAAGCCCATCGCAAAAAGTCTTCAATTAGCAGAATACGCCTTCATCTCCTCACCAAGGTCACCTTTAACAATCAAATTATCTTTAAATTTAAATAAAACAATCACTCCCCGTCAGTCAGAGTTGATTAGTTCCCAAATGAAATCCATTGCCTCTTGAATATGTCAAGAAAACTTACCCCTCATTCTCACTCACGCGCTTCAAATGCATGTGTGTGCAAGGTCATCTACAAACACACTTGTGTGCACACTAAAAGAAAAGCAGTAGACCACAGGAGTTTACAGCTGAAATGTCTTTTAATTCCTGATCACACAAGGCACAGTTGTGTTTGTTCTAACCACAATTTGGGAGATTTTAGTCGGGCTTGGAGGAATTTGAAAAGTCACAGTCTCTGGCAGCTGGGGCAGACAAAACAAAGTTGGTTAGATACTTTTTCAGCTGTGCATTATAAGGAGATTCACACCCTCTGTACTCATTTAACACAGTCTAATGATAAATCACTGAAAGCTTTCCTCATCTCCAAGGACTTCAAATAAAAAATTTTTAGGATCACATAGATTAGAATCTGTCTTCGTTATAAGCAAAATAGGATAAAACGTACCAGTGTTTTGGATGCAAATGTGACAATACTACATGATACGTGGGTCATGACTTCAGAGGTAGAAACTGTGGTGCATTCAGGTAGTTTGGAATGTTCCAAACACAAAAATAACTCAAAAATTGTTTATTTCCTCCTGAATGACAATAAACAATTTACTGTGTGTGCTGTTGAAGAACTACAGATTGCTGTGTTGTTTCCATCTGGGTTGGAGTGATCTTCCACTCTGAGTCCCATCAAAATCACTCCATCAGAAGTAAATGACTTTTCCACCACACAGGACGAATGGAGGAGGCTTGTCTGCTCTAAAAGCATTTTCACACACCAGGACCAATCTCCGGCACTATTGACCTGACCAAGGTCGTTTTTGTTCAAACAGCAAAGCCCAAGATGATGTAGTGAACCGATATCCCTGGGTCTGTATGGTACATTCTATCTAGGCAGCATTGGGTGGTGTAAAGCAAATCTAGGCTTCAGCATCCCACAGTTTTAAGGTTCTAGAGGTTATAGCTGAGCAGGCTGAATTTTTCTTTCTTTCTTGTTTGTAAGGTTAAGCTGGGGAAAAAAATAGGAAAAAATAAAAAGTCCAGTGAATGCAGCAAAATGCCCTTATCTCGCCATCCGCCGTCAGCCCCAGATGTCCTGTAAGTAGCGTTTCTCCTCTCTCAGCCCCGCCAGTCTCTTCATGGCATCCAGTTGGTCTACCTGAAGCTCTGTTTTGATCATCTCCACCAGGGTGTCGTTCACGTCTTTAGCCATGTTCTTAGCTTCTCTGGTGAGGAAAAGAGCATGAAAAAAGGGCAATGCAATCAACAGGCATGTTTTTGAGACAGCCCTGTGTGTATGTTTAAGCACAGTGGCAAGGCCATATTTTGTAAAACCAAGAGGTGCTGCCACAGTCCAGCAGTGTCCTGGAAGGAAATTGCTGAAATCTCCATTTTGCTGTTGAAGCATTTTGGGGCAGATTCAACATCCCGTGGCTCTAAAGTGATCTTCTTAGAGTGTGAGGAATTCAAACAGTTCTGATGTTTTAAAGATCATTTACTCAAAGGTGAGGTAAGAGGCCTGGCAGTGATGATAGAGAGAGAAAGGTGATACTGAGCAATGCAAATGTTGACTTATATGTTTTTGCTTGGTCTCGTCGTCTTTGTACTGACAGAAAAAATGTGAAAGGAGGGGAAAAGGGGGTACATACACACCATAAATGCTACCAACTGTACAGGATGTTGCAACAGTGTGAGGTCAGCAGTAACAAAGGAGTAAGAGAAGAGATATTGGGCGCAGAAAGTTCCTTGTCATTACGCCCAAATTCAAAATATGTGATAACTCGCCTTTAAGCAAGTCACATAGTCATTGCACCTGGCACTGGATGCAGCTCGGCATGTCTTCAAGCAGTTCTTTAGCAAGATATGTAGGTTTTTCTCTTTCTTATAAGCAACAATTTACCCTCAGAGAGAATCCCTGTAAAATACTTATCAGTTATTTGTTTGATAGTCAGAACAATATTAGCTTAAACAGAGATTATACTCTCATGTCAAATAGGTTTATTGCCAATATTATTAATAATATGTACATTATTGTGACTAGTAATGTAACAGATCGTAATGGTTCTGTAAGCCGTACAGACTCCCTGACAGAGAGAGCTAGAGTGCAGAAAAGAGCTGCGAGTGAGATGTTTCGCAGTCCTTTCACACATTAGTGCCAGAACATGACTCAACCATACCAAGTGCACACTGGGATAAATGTAAAGCAGATTAAAAAATAGAATATATCAGTCAGGATGAATTATGGTTCAAATTATAAGAGGGATGAGATTTCTTACCCGCACACATAGAGATAGCCGTTCTGTTTGAGCAGGATGTCAGTTATGTGCTGGCTGTTGAGAAGCAGGTTGTGTTGGACGTATCTGGGTCGTGCTGCTGAGGTCTTGGTCACCTCTTCCTCCTCCTCCTCGTCTCTGGAGAAACACACCTTGAGGTGGCTCAGGGTACCGTTGGACACAAAGCTCTCCAGCTCCTCTCTGGAAGAAGACACATCCAAACATGTCAGGATGTTTTAAATCCAATTTCCTTCAAGGTTATTCCTGTAATCTTGGGCAGGTTGTTCCGCATTTACAAAACCAAAATTGTCATAACTCTTTGTAAAGCTCAGGAGCCAAAGATTCAGTTTCTGATGTGGAGAAAAGATCATGTGGCAGTGAATGTTGACCAACCTTGACCACCTGTCCACAATTTTATGGAGAGAGAAAGAACATGCATATTTTTATTGTAACTGAATGAAGAAAATGTAGAAACTGCTGGCCTGTTAATGCCAAGTAATTAACCAGGTTTTTCATACTGTTTATCCTTTCACATCCAGTGCTCTCTTAAGATATTTAGCAATAGCTTCAACCGCCTCAGAAGACACATGACCCCCAGAACATTTCCTAAGAACAACAACAAAAAAACAACATCAGGTTAGGTAAAACAGAACACTGATGGCCAAAAGGTCTGAGCAAAACTGAGCCAGACAAACAATTTATTTTGTTTAACGAGAAAAGTGCAAAGAAAATATGGATTTCATAAGCAAGGCTGAGTCACTGTTATAAGCATCTTCTTACAATCAATCCTCCCAGCCTTGCAGTTGGGTGTAACCTTGCTCCCTATCTGTGGTTCGGTTGGCAACTACTCCTTCTGCTTCAGTGTTTTTCACAGGGCCTGGGGTGCTATTGGAAGGGAAGGAAAGAGGAAGGTGGGGAGGGAGTAAGGGTTTACTGTGGCTCAGAGCGGCGTCTTCTCTAAAGTTAAGCAGCCGGAATGAGCAGAAACACACACCGACACCACAGCGCAACACACACACTGATAACAAGTCACGGCTCTGAGTTCATGGGTGAAGGTCTTCGCTTCAGGGGTCTGTTTTGCAGTAACCCCTCGACTAAAATAAGACATTTTCCAATAACACACAGACAATGCGGTGTGAATGCTAAAGGAAGAGATGCATTATGTTGTCTTTGTTCTATGTGAAACATCCAGAGCTGTTGCCTCTCCTGCAATATTTACCTTTGATTAGAGAAAGAGTCGCTAAAAGAAATCTTGTTGTTATGACCGAGACATGTGATTACAAAGTCTGTTTGAACATGAGAGCAACAACATGAATAACAAGGAGAAGCATGGCGGAGTCTAGTTTGTTTTTGACGTCCGAATATGAATCATCATAGACTAACCAGTCAAGTTGCAGTTTACTTCCACATCTGTCCAGACTCATATGTAGTGAATACTTGGAAAGAGTTGAATAAAAAGGTATAAAGTGTATTTTTTGGCTGAATCACTATATTGATGATATGTAGGTATGGTTCCAGTAAATATATATTGTTGAAGTGATTAACGAAGGATTTTCATAGATGTGTTGGCTAAACAGGTACACATGTACTTGATTACGATGTAAAGATGGATTCTTATAAAGTATAGTTACACAAAATGCGGTGCTAGTTATTGTTAACTCAGTCAACATGTGTGTGAAATCTGGAATCGTCCAATTAATTCTTAAAATTTTAAGGTCACAATGACCTTTGAGTCCAAAGTGCCTCTCTATTCAGTGTCCAACTAACTGGCAAATCTGTCACATTTTCCCCTTCTGTTGCTGAGTTACGGTGATGAATAATGGCCAATGTTTTTCCCGGACATTATGACGTCACAGTGAAGTAGACCTTTGACATTTTAGGTAAAAAATGCCGTCACTTCATCGTTGCATCCAATTAAAGATCTGTGTGAAATTTTGTCATAATTACCACATCAATTCTTGAGTTACGGCCAAAAACATGCTTGTCAAGGTTCTTTTGAGGTCACAGTGATCTGAACCAAACTGAATGACAATAAATGTAGAAAGTGCTGGCCTGTCAAAGCTAAGTAATTAACAGGCTTTTCATACTGACAGTTTATCCTTTCACATCAAACACTCTCTTAAGATATTAATCAATGGCTTCAACCGCCTCAGAAGACATATGACCCCCAGAACATTTCCTAAGAACAAATAAAACAGAACACTGAAGGGCAACTGTGTCGTCATCATGGTCATCAATCCTTGAAGGTCACAGTGACCTTTGCCCTTTGCCCACCAAATTCTAATCAGTTCATCCTTGTGTCCAAGTGGACGTTTGTGCCACATTTAAAGAAATTCCTTCTAGGTGTTCCTGAGATATCGCATTCATGAAAATGGGACGGACAACGGGAAAACATCTCACTGGCGCTGAGCCGAGGGTTTCTGAGAGCCAAATTCTGCCAGACTCCTCTGTGTGTTTATACACATAACAGCCTGTGGCAATATCCTGGACCCTAAAATGAACCCAGCAGGCCTTCCCGTTATGTTTCCTCTACAGCATGAAATCACTTGCCATAAAGGAGGCAGAGGAATCAGAGGGAGGGGAAAGGATAAGTGCAGCAGAGGGGAGGACAGGCTTGATGTGACAGGCAGGCAGATTGGCATCAACCTCTCACAGGGATGTTAAGTGCCGCGGCTGATTGAGGTGCATCGCAAGCCTTGTTTGTTTTATTTTGCTGGTGGAAAATTCTGAACACCATCGGAGAGCTGGGCACATCCTGTCTCGACATTTTGTAATATTTCAACCCCTACTTGCCCGACTTTGGGTAAGCTTTTCTTAAAAAATATGAGACATAAAAAAAACCCATTTCAAACTATACTAAGCAGGTTCCTGCGTTTCAAGGCAACGGTAGACATCAAATTGAGAGAAATCCAACTGAGATGAATGCAGGCAGGTAATGCAACTGCAAGTATGTTGTTCTCATTCTGCTAACCTATTTAAATTAAGTACAACGCTTCATGGGTGGCTCATAAAACACAGAGTAATCACTTTGGTCAACACTGTGAGGGTGTTCATCAGAGAAGCCCACACTGTGAACAAACACTGCCCACTACCTGGCTGTGAGCTGGTATTTAACTAAGGGATATAGGGAGAAAAAGGGGAACAAACAACATCCTCTGTGATCTATTCTTGTGTCATTAAGGATGCTAATCCATTCACACTATTTAATCCTGTGAAAGAACTCGATCAGTGCACCAGCATCGAGTGCACACATGCTGCTGATACTCAGCAAGAGCCGATCAATTAGTGTGTAGTCAGAAGAGAGTAAAGCCAAAACAAACTGATCAGAGCAATGATTCACTCACAGGTTGATGTGAGGTTAGAATGCTTTAACAAACCAAGAGGTCAATCTATAAAAAAGTAGTCTAACATTCATAGAACACTGCCCCCCCTTCAATTCCTGTCTACAATACAACCTCATGTCAGTGTTGAGCATGGACACCGGAAGTAGTGGGTCCAAGGGCCATTTGCACCCCCACTTTCACCACTTTCAATCCATTTCCTCTGTTCTTGGCACATTTTGCTTTCTCAATGAGGGCAAGTAATGACCAGGATTTGCTTCAAAACTGAAGCTCAAGGATCGATCGATACAGACTTCAAACTTGGAACCTGTACGTTTTGCCATTTTATGTTGCTGGTTACGGTTTTAAACTTGGCGTTAGGACACACCCCACATAACGTCTACTGTACTCACACTGGTGCAATGTTGAGTTTTAATATTGAGGAACAGCCTAGAGAAATTGTGTGAACGGTAAGCCACATTTGAAGCCAATTACCAGAGTAGCAGGTTGGTTGAGGTAAACAGTTTTTTCACGTTGCTTTTTGTGGACCTTCATATTACAAAGGTAGCTCAGCTGGCTTGTTCATATGAAAGTTTTTTCCTGAATTGGTACTTGTTCATTTGAAGTCTCCGGTCTATCTATCACCACACACACACACACACACACACACACACACACACACAGCTTGAAATTAATCCGATGCCCTTGGTGCTGAGCAATAAACCATAAACTCTTAAGGTAATATAAACAGTAGGGTTATGGTTCAGTCGCATTTTATCTAATCTGCACCTAGAACTGAATCTGCTTGTCAAATCTGAATCTTTTCAATTCCCTTATCAAATCTATTTAGGTTTAGCTTTCAAATGCTGCATTCACAGGTTTTTTTTCACAGCAGTGGAAACAAGTTATGAACACAACATTTTATCACCTTTTAGTTTACATGGCAAACTTGTTAGCCAACAGTAGCTCGTCTTACTCATCCAGCCTCATGAAGTAACTCTGCAGTGTTTCCCCTATATGTCGGTTACAGTGTGTCGGCCTCTCAAGACCAAAAAAAGTCTGTTGTTTCCCCACCTGCTGGAAAAAATTAAGCCTGTTAGCGCTAAGTTAGCTAACATCCCCCCTCCCCTTCACACAGAGCTGAGCAGGAAAGTTTCAACAGCAGGCTGTGTCTTTTGGCTGCTATGTAACTTAACATTAGCTCAATAGAAAGTAACTGGTAGTTTTATTTTATTACTGCCTTCTTGTCCAATGTTGAGAACATCAGTTACAATCTGAGAGTAAACTGGTGTAGCCTGCAGCTCTGTCCTGTACAGACTGGTTGAATTATTTTTCAGATGAGTCTGAAAAAGTGGTTGTTAGGAAAAGAAAGGACGGTGGTGAGTTTAGTAAAGCAAATTAGTGATGCAAACTCGTCCTTTTAAGCTAATGAGGAGATGTTTCTTTTTGGATTTTAATGTGCAAATAAAATGCACCTCAGAAGGGACAAGGTTTCTCATGTTGCACGCAAAAGGCAAACATGAACAATCGTAACAATTCTGAGGTCATATTAACAGGGTTTTAGGGGGTGATGTCCAAAACATGCTGTGCAATAAATGTTAAATCACTGTGGAGAGCATAACCAACCAAATAACTTTCCCCAAATCTAAAGTTTGTAGTTCCTCCCCAGTAGACTGATCTTTTGCTGTCGGTTATTTATTATCTGTCCTGCTTTTCCAACTCTTTGTTCAGACATATGGGGAAAATAATGGCCCAAACCCCCCACCACCCTGACCATGACCACCAACACCAAAACATTCAGCTAAAACTCACATTAACCTGGTAAAACACTAGTTTTAAACTATTCTGATGTACATCGCATGCTCATGGACACAAAGCAATACTGCTGAGACATGTTGTGTTGGGGTTTTATATTCAGACAAAAAATCTGCTTCACCTCCGCTGCTATAACTCCATCCTAGGGGAAACACTGCACTGGCATTCATTTGAGTCAAATTTCTGGTCTCCACCGACCCATGAGGAAATTTATTTTGCGCTTTAGCTGCTAAATGCTACACTATGTTCACAGCTGCCTTCTATGCCTAGAAACGAGGCGGATGATAGCGATGAGTGAGTGAACCCAGCAGTAAAGTTGCCAGCAGTAAAAACCAAAACAAAGAGCTGAAAGATACTAAAATGCTCCACAGTGCTGAAGAGAACTTTAAAGTAAAATGATAACATTTATATTTAAAATATTTCTTAGCAAAGCTTCAATATTCAACATATTTGCTCTTTAGCTAAAAGGGTGAAACTCACATAACCTGTATGCAGCGTCTTGCTTGAGTCACAACTACATGCCGAAACCACAATATGCTGGTGCTCTTGCCCCTTTTCACTCATATGTGAAAAACACGTGTCCTTGGTTAATATAGCTTGAAGGGCAGCAACACATACATTTTACTTTACATCCTTGAGCTGAGTGCTGGAGCTAAAGAAAAGAAAGTAATGGTAAATGCACCTTTCTAGTCTTCATACCACTCAAAGTGCTTTTACACAACACACCTATTCACACTCATATTTATACACCGATGGCAGAGGCTAAGGTGCCAACTGCTTATCAGAGACAGAAATTAACACACACACACACACACACACACACACACACCAGACACTTGGGGTTCTGTATCTTGTCCAAGGACACTTTGACATGGAGGGGGATCGACAACCCGCCCTACCTCCTGAGTCACAGTCGTCCCTAGTATGTATTGAACATGTGTATGGGGTCTGTCAATAACCACAGATCTGAAATAACAAGCACAGCTTACCTGAACAGGTAGTCTCTGTCTCTGTGGCAACAACCGAAGAACAGCCAGGTCTCGCCAAATGTGGCCTCAGGGTTCTCCGCCTCTCATTCTCTCTGAAAGTCAAGCAAAGGATGTTAGCGGTCAATCAATACTAACACACGACGAGACCAGATGGAGGAGAGGGAGTCCTTCCTCGCACCAGAGGTTAAAGAAGAGTAGTGACACCATTAAGCACTGTCTGCAATGACAGTACACTGAGAGATGCAATGGCCTAATGCACGGAAACGAGCAGCGAGGACATTACATATATTATTAAATTTCACCCAAACAGAAGGATAGATGCCATCACTATAAACAGTTACTGAAAATGAAACTAGGGCTTTTGTGTGTGTTCAACTGCGCTTGAGTAAAAAAATAAAAAATTAACTGCTCCCGCAAAAGTGATTCCTCTTGTGGTTTGGGAGTTTGGCAAAGCTCCCAGAATCCTTTGCAGGCAATGGCAACGCAGCAGCACAAAGCGGCTCTGAGGATGCCAGTATCTGTGCCGCACACCTGCTGCTAAGGTGACAGCTCTCTCCTAGATAACAACAGTTGACCCCCAACCTTTCATGATGCCATCAGTCAGCAGTCTCTCTAAAGAGGCCGGGTTATCCGTTACCCCAGTCTGATTGGTGGGGTGACCAACCACGACGAGGGGCTCAGGAATGTCACAGAGAGGCATTGAGACTGGGGCCTTTGTGCTGTGCTGCTGCACTCAGAGGATAAGGTGCTGCTTCCCCTAAGCTCCACCCTTTGATTTTCACCAACCAACTGAATCAGGCTTTGTGTTTTCCAAAAGTCACAAAATTAAAAAAAAGGGCAGCCAACTCAGGCTTGCTGGAGTTGTACATAAGCAATAGTATAATATTGTATTATTACTGTTATTACTTTGAGTAATAATTTATGTCTCAGAACGTTTTTACAAAAAAATCCTTAATTACCTGGTGATAAATTCTTAAAATGACATACACGCCATCTTCCAGAATATATGAATCTGCAAAGATTTTTTTATTTTAAAGGTTTTTTAAAGGCTGGATACAAAACTGCTCCTACTTCACTTAAAACTACACCATTGGCAATTTTCTTCGCAGATACGGATTTTCTTTCTAAGAACTATCATTGACAGCACAAACATTTTTGTAACTTTCCTGTAAGGGCCCGTGTCCACCAAAGTTTTTTTTTCTGACACCAGTGTCTTTTTTCAATTCATTCCAATGGGAGCGCCGCGTTTTTACTAGCTGGTAAAAACGCCAGGAGCGTGACGAGGCGCTGAGCGTCTTTTCCGCGCTGTGCGCTGGGCGTTTCTTCCCGGTCGCCGACAGTTGAGAAATGTTCAACTTTGGGAAAAACGCTGCGCTCGTCACTGTCACTTTTTACCCAGCCATCCAATCACAGTGCAGGAGGGGCGGGACAAGCACCGTACAGAGCACATCCGATCTTGAACGAAGCGAAGTGCCTACTCGCCGAGGTGTTTCCCCGCCCGCAAAATCTCATGAACCCACGTACGGACAGGACAGTTTCTGCTCTCATGTTTCAGCCTTCTCTTCATGCAGAGCAAGTGCCAGAGCAAGTAACCCTACATACTTTGTGGTGACAAGCTGGCAAAAAACGCTTTGGTGGACACACTGACTATTAAATAACTTTCAGATTTTCTGCAAAACTGCACCAGGTTCCTGGACCTTCTCACTCAGCTCAAAATTAAAAGGGGCTCCAGGTTAAGCTACTGAACAGAGCTTTTTTGTACAAATAAATCCAAATGAATTGCAGATAACACAGCAATGTTTCCCACAGAATGAGAGTGTCTTTGTGGTGGGGGTATATTTTCTTTAAATTATTTGAGAGAAGACATTACCCTATTTATAGTAGGTTATTCCTTAACTCAATACTTTAATTCTACTTAATTATTTCCTTATTTTAGTATTTACTCACAAACTACTTTAATCTGTTGACCTTGCTTTTCCTTTCAGATACACACACCTACATATGTCTCTCTCTGTTTCTCTCTCCCTGTATATCTCTGCTCTCTTGACTTTCTACATCAGCAGTATGTTTCATAAAAGGTGCCCAAATAAGTCATGTTTGGGTTTTTATCCCCGCAATCTGTTTTCACAGCAGCAGGTGAGCAGCGTGTTGAGGAAGCTTGTTGTTAATGACGTCCCCTATAAAAACAAACATGGCACCAAATGACATCGGCACCAAAAGGTGTGCTCACTGTTGCATGTATGTAATCCCAGATAAAGTCCCCCTCTCTCTGCAAAGTGCTAAAATGGGTCGCCAAATATAGCTTACTGTGGCGACCATTAATATACCTGGGTAAAAGTAAAGTCGGTGTGGAAAACATGGCTGGCAAGTGTTGTGTCTTCTTCGCTCACGATGAAGACCTTCCAGGCTGACCACACGTCTTTGTGTCTGTGGCTGAGACATTCGTCACTGTCTGTGCTGATGTGTCAGCATCGGTCAAAAGTCACGGCCGATTAAGCTGAAAATGGCCAATTCCAGTCAACAGCCGATCGATTGGTGTATCTCTACTGAAAACTGTATTCTTAGCGTTGGCGAGTGTCTGGAGGTTTCAAGATTTCCCATCACAATTTTGTAAAATGAGTAAAAGGGAGATGTGACAAAAACTTTTGAGAGCAGCTTGTTTAAGTAGTTTATCGAGCAAAAATATAATTTGCAGGTTTCAGATTTTCAAATGTGTAATTTTTTTTTTTTTTTTAAAATGGCATTATAAATTCAATATCTTCTGGATTGGACAAAACAAGCAATGTGAAGACGCCACATTGGGCTCTAAAAAAAAAACCTTTCTTGTTTACTGACATTTTATAGACCAAGGGATTAAAATATTTATTTTTTTAAATAACGAAGAGATCAATCAATTTGTTAGTTGCAGCTTTACACTAATTAGCCTTAGTGAAAAAACTAAATCAATGCAATAGCCTGATTTTGAATACTGAAACAAAGCTTCACCCTAATTCTCCATTAAGTTGACTGATTAATAAAAATGCTTTGGAGAATAAGTTTGTTTGAACTTGATGTCTGTGAATGGGGCACAGTAACAGAGCTGTCTGGCTGACTTGATCCGAACACTCAGATCCCATCCATTAGCATCCTGGACGAGATTCTTCTGATCTGCAAACAGCCTCGAGTAAACTCATTTTAGTGGGCTCGTCTCTCTCTCTCCTCTTGCCGCCTGCCCTAAAGGGATCAATACCAATATGAAAAACCTGGATTCCATTCTGAGTAGACCACACCGGCGCCTTTCTCTGAATACAAATCACATCACATCACATCCCCACACTATAACAGCCTGCAATACAATCCCAGGGGAAAGACAGCATCTACAGAGCACTCCATTCTGGGGTCGAAATCAGAAGCGGTTGCCTTGCATTGCCATTCAGATAATCAGCAGGAGGGGAAACTGCATGGAAAGCTGAGGTGAGGACTTGGTAAACATCCCAATTATCTTATATCTTTCATCGGTTTTCTTTGCAGCGCCGTGCGAGAGATGCTGATCGGCTTTTTAGGCATAAAAATACAAGAACAAAAAACAAAGCCTAAATACAACAACAGCTTGATGCTTAATCACTGAAATTACGTTGCAGAATTACACCCATATACATTCAACAATTCAAAATGTTTTCATAATATAGGACAATGCTGAGTGGCAAGATGCTGCAGCCTAATTGTGATCAGCTGTCTGGTTAGACTGATAAATGGAAGCTCAATATTTGTTCACACAAAAACACAAACTTAATAAAAGTTGTCATACAGAATGTGCCAAGTGGGCCTACCGGCAAACCTAAATATTAAACTGAGAAAACTGTTATTTTTTTCTAAAAGAAAAGCTTGTTCAAGCTGTTAAGGAGATTAAGGCTAACCACTCAGTTAAAATACATTTGTTTAACTGTCACTGCTGCCAGCTAAAGAGAAAGACACTGAAAATCACATTCTCCATAAAATCCTTCCACGCCAACCACAGCAATCAATACCAGACTTCTGGGGAGCGTTATTAAAATCTCCTGGTACTGCCAAGTGAGCATCTGACCTTTAGAGACGCTTCTTCCACTTGTTACCAGCGCTACAAACTCATACAAAGTACTTTTGAAAACAGCCATCGATTAACAGTGAGGCTGGGAGGCGGGGAGAGGTAGAAAGATCGAAGTGTGCCCATGTTGTTTTGTTGCTAACAGGACCTTTCTCGGGCCTTGAGGCAGATCCGGTGTCCCGGTGACAAACTGGTGATTGTTATCTCCTATCAGAGTGCAGCGTCAGCCAGCAAGGCTTTGTTTGGAATCTCAAGCTAGAGTCTGTATAATGCCGCACACCACGACAGGTTTTTACAATCCTCCAGCACAATACACAGCTGGCAGGAGAGAGCATGAGAGACACAGAGAGGGAGAAGGGACTGAGGAGACAGTCGAGCTGATGAATTGGTTGTTGTGACTTTATACTATATATATATATATACTTATAGAGTCTTGTGAAAGAAAAACAAAAAAAGATTTGAAATTTATTCAAAAAAAAAATAACATTGGACTCTCAAGGATGCATTTGATGAGAGCTAGTGGTTGTTGTATTATGAAACAAAGCCTTCCTAAAATCATTTAATCTCTGAGTGTTCTGCTTGCACTGACAAGTAGGTCTACAAGAGCAGACCATTAATAAAACACTTAAAAAGTGCATTTTGATATCTTAGATTTTCAAGAGCTGTGTTTGGGTACCACTGTAAGGATCAAAGTTAGACTGATATGTTCATATCACTGCCTTCCACCAGAGTACTGTCCCTCTGGCCTAACCTTGATCATTAAGAAGAGGAGTCTGTCTGCGAGTGGTTTAACGAGGTCAATCCGAAAAACGTGCGGCATCTTCAGTACTCCTGCCTCCCAAAATGCGCGAGAACCTCTCACCCCAGATGACCACTCATCCTCCCACGAAACCTGCTGCAGACAATCCATCGTCACATCAGTCGGTGCCGTGTCACCTCTGTGAGCAATCACCCGCTGATGCCACGCGCAAAAAAACATCAGACGTCCGAGGGATTTAGAGACAATTGGAGTTGACTGGGGCACAACCTCATTTATACAAAGCCACCAAAGAGTTAGACATGTCAGTCTGACTTTCTAACTAGTCATGGTGGATGTGGGGCCTGGTTCAACACACAGGCATGACACTGGATAGAGAAGCCTCACTCACATTAAATCCTTCTGACAGGTCATCGTCTTGCAATCTTGATTAAGCCATCATTTCAGAAACTCAGAAAATTTAACAAAATGTCACGTTTTTCTACCAAATGATAGCACTCTTCAAGCATTTAACTCTTTCAGCAGTGGTTTAACAAGCGGGTGAGAACGTACCTACTCAGCTAACAGTCAGTATCCTCACAACACCTCTTCTGCAATTACAAGCAATTATTTACTCCAACAACGTGTCCACCTACTACTGGAATTTTTACTTTTAAATCAATAACGCTCCATGTGCTGCATTGACTCCTGGCTCTTCATTACAAGCCGAGTCATAAACTTCTGCATCAGAGAGGGCGCAATTTATTCCTGTTGAGACGAGTGAAGCATCTGAAATAATCCCTGACGTGATCACGGCCCACGCTGCTAGATTTATTATGCCTTATGAGATGTACATAACGTCGACTCTCATCGACTTTGAGCGGGGTCTCATTTAATTGTTTCCGCAGATTCCTTGAAAATATGGATAGATGGTGTGCACTTAACATCACTTGAACAATGTGAATATTCATTACTGGGTGCAGAATTTTATCTACGTCACACAGTGCACCAATTAGCATGTAACCTGCGTGTTTCTGATGCTTGATATGAACATTTAGCTGACCTACTTCAGCAGCATATCTTGTAACATGTACAACATTGGCAGGATCAAGTACATTACCACATGCATTTGTTTCCTCGTGAAGGAGGCATTTGCAAAATGGGGGATCTCAATATCCACCATGTCTCTCCAACTTGATGAAAATGTCTTTTCTTATGTTGCAAGATATTATTGTAATGAAATATTAAATTTGCCATACCTTTGCTGGAGAAATCCAATAAAGGGGGCAACTCCTGTGCCTGGTCCAACCATTATGAACGGCACCGACAGGTCAGAGGGAGGCCGAAATGAGCAGCTGGGTCTCAAACTCACATGGATCTAGGGTCAGAGGTCATTAGCAAGCATTTAAAATAATGAGAGTAATTACAACAATGCTGAGAAACCACTGTGGGCCTACCAATCTATTAATTGATCTACTTAATATTCTAAGCCATACTAATAGGAAAACTCATGAGTTCCAACTGGAATCCATAGAGTCTGTTGTAGAGAGGATTCACATGCTTTAATTTGAATTAATTCTTTAATTAACCGCACACAACTGGCCCAGAGCTTGTTCTTTTTTTGGTGTCTCACACATTAAAATTGAGTTCCTAGAGCAGTTTAAAACATGTAGTAGAAACAGGTTCAATCCCTAAAGCCTCGAGTTCTGCAGTTTCATGAAGACACTGCACAATTATCTGATATTCTGATCCACACTTGCCTTCTATTTTACTCAAGAAGCTCTTCTGTAATATCTGAAGGAGAATGAGCAGCCCAGCTCTCCTAACATTTTTACTGATACAAAACTAAGACAAAGACAAAGAAGGGAGGGCAAAGTAAGGCATAGCAGGATTTCAACCTAGCCAGGAGGTGTATACATGAGTATACTTTTCTCCCTATGAGTGGGAGATTGAAACTATTACAGCACTTGTACGCGCAAATATGAGCACTTATCAGCCAAGACCAAGAAATATATCAGCCAAGTTCACAAATTTACACAATCTAGCTCTCCATTTTCCAGTTTACTCATTACCTTTGGCAGAGCCAGGCTGCCGGAGGATTCAGCCTTCCCAGGGAAAACCAGGACAGGATTGATGAGGTCAAACAGCCAACTGGTACACAAGCCTCGCCTCCCTGCAGGCCGCCCAGAGCACGCTGGGAACTCTACTATGTTAAAGACAAAATGCAGCTTTCCTGGGTGCCTAAGACAGGAGCTATAGAGATGGGACCACAGAGAGTTTGAGATGGAGGAAGAACAGAGATAGAGGGAAACAAGAATGTGTGCAAGGCATACAGACAGACACAAGCAGGGAGATGAAGTGAAATACAGAAGCAGAGGGAGAACAGAAGGGTAAAGAAAGGCACAAGCATTACGAGGGAGGATAAATTCTCAAGGACATACAGCAATGCTCCTACAAATGATTCACACAAACTGCCTTTAGAGAAATGTAGTTAAACAACAGCTTTTGATGGGATGCCAATTACAAATATGTACATGACATTAAAATGTGCTAAATTATAATCTACGTCAGTGGCTCACAACCTTTTTTGTCTGACATACCCCTGTCAGATGAGCTCAAGTACCCTCTCATCAACACCACCCGTCATGTTATGTGTTCTTCTGAATGGATTTTAAACTGAATGCAATTTATTATTATTTTACTTTAACTATTTTAAACAGTTTATCCGTTACTTTTAACTAACTACTATGACTGCCTTACCATTACTTCTAGCTAACTAACATTACTACAACAACTTAACCATTAACGTTACTTTCAGCTAATTAGGCTACTACAACTGCCTACTTTTAGCTAACAATTTCAACTGCTCATCCATTACTTTAGCTAAGTATTTCCACTGCTCATCCATTACTTTTAGCTACCTATTTCCACTGCTCATCCATTACTTTTAGCTACCTATTTCCACTGCTCATCCATTACTTTAGCTAAGTATTTCAACTGCTCATCCATTACTTTTAGCTAACTATTTCCACTGCTCATCCATTACTTTTAGCTACCTATTTCCACTGCTCATCCATTACTTTAGCTAAGTATTTCAACTGCTCATCCATTACTTTTAGCTACCTATTTCCACTGCTCATCCATTACTTTTAGCTACCTATTTCCACTGCTCATCCATTACTTTAGCTAAGTATTTCAACTGCTCATCCATTACTTTTAGCTAACTATTTCAACTGCTCATCCATTACTTTTAGCTAACTATTTCAACTGCTCATCCAATACTTTTAGCTAACTATTTCCACTGGTTATCCATTACTTTTAGCTAACTACAACTTCTTAGCCATTACTTTAAGCTAATGACTTCATCTGCTTAGCTATTACTTGAAATAAACTATTTTATCCATTATTCCACACCCCTAGCAACTATAAAAGTACACCTTAGGTCCACACAATGAAGAGCACTTCATTCTAGAAAAATAACTTAAAAAAATACTGCTAGGAGAGAGAAGAAATATCTTTCTTTGTCTGTCTTGCTTCAATAAAACTGCTTCTCCCTCCTCTCTGTTCCAGTCTTCACTGCCAGCTGAAGAAGTCTCACGCTCTCTCATCCTTCATTCTCCAGTTCCTGTGGGCCACTGGAGACCTCTATTGACCACAGCATCAATAATGCAGGCCTCTAATGTCTCTGCACCATCTGATAAACTACAGCCACCCTCTCTCCTGTCCGTACCCTGTCTCTCTGCACAAACATACACACACATTAGCAGCTAAGTGAGGACCTAATGAGAGGAGCGGAGAAGTTTTGACATTGCGTTAGATGTTGCTGTTCCACATACGCTTTAAAGCAAACCTAATGGGTAGTAGCTTAACAGGAAGAGCAAATCAATGACTGGCTAAGTGGGGCAAAAAGAAGGAACACTAGAGCCTATTTAAAATAAGCCCCACTACCTAAAAACAATAGATACAATATTTACAGTGCATTCCTTTGTGCATGTTTTTACACCCACTGTTGAGTGTATTAGGGAATTACATCTATAAATACCCATCCAAACAAAAGCACACATAACATGGACTACAATGTTCAGGGTCTGACAAAGGGAATCCATTACAAACTTTAGAAATATACACACATACATAATAATTATATATACACGTTATAATACCCTATCAAATGACAGATAATTAACCACTGTCAATAGTGCGAGATCAATACATATTGTATCTTGTGAACTCGCCGGTTTTTACTACTACTACCTAATAAAACAACAACAGATTGCCAAATTAGTTTGGAGGGTTACAAGACCAAAATATATGTACTGTACTGTACACTACCACTTAAAAATGGCATTTCACTGTTAATATAATGCATCTTCTCTGGGGCATAACACATTCTATGCAGCCTCTTAAAAAGAACTAACTTAGATCATAAATTATATGAAGATTTCTCAACTTTTGTATGGTGTAGAAAAATAATAATAGATTAAATTTATCAATTAAAAAATTGCAAAGTGAATGAACAGAAGAAAAATCTAAATGAAATCATTATTTGCTAAACACACAAATATTCTATCTTTGCCATTATTGGGAATATAATCAAGTTTGGAATAAGATGGCTGCGTAAGAGAGCCAGATGTTTTAATTTATACGGAAACACATCCAAGTATTCAATTCTTCAATTCATAATGAACTATTAATGTCTTTGTACATTTTCTTAATGTATACTTATTGTGCAGCTAGGAAACATCAATAGAAATGAGGAAGCCTACACAATGATGTGGCAAGAATAAGACAACCACATGTACTTAAAGAATGATGCTAAAAGAGCACATTTGTGCACAGGTTCATGCAGTGCAAAATTAAATCGGCGTTTTTATTCTTCTGTCACCTTACCTGGCTGCTGAATAAGGTCTGGGCTGCAGTTTCGGCAAATGCTCTGAAAGGCAAGCACAACTGTCAATCATCCAGCTGTATTGCTTAGATTTGTTACACAGACAACCATGACAGAGAGGAGACAAAATAAGTGAAAGTCATCTCGGCCCATTGAGACGTCCTACCTACCAATCTATCCTCCGTAACCCCCACCCAGGTTACAGTCTTGTTTCTAGGACACACTTCTATATTTATGAAATTACAAACTCGGGGTTATGGAATCCCAAGTGTCCAGATGTGGAGCCAGTAGGAAACAGATTGCTTATGCAAACCTTATTTCAATGCCAGCCATGAAGGTGCCCTCTTTGGGTAATATGTAGTGTGCATTGCATCCGCAAGGATGTGTCAGAGAAATCAGAAAAACTTATAAGAGTTAGAGGTAACTTTTCACCCTGTAGCACCAAGATTAGTCATTTGCTATGCAATATGACCACTACAAACTATTAGTTGTGGGGGAAAAAAGAGTGATTGAGAGTTCTGTGATGTGCTTGCTATATGTTCCCTTACACTGTATTTGTATCTCACTGATAGATGAACCTGGAAAAGTAAAGCTACACCATATGTACCAGCTGAGGCCTCATAATAACACTTCTTTTGTGCTAAATTGCTTGAAAAGACAAACAGCTGGACGGAATCTGCTCTCTCCTCTCTTTCTGGATTTCTCTGACATCTAAACAGCTCAGGGTGTTAGCGAGACAGCTCCAGACTTTGACGTCCATTTCATCTCTTTGGGCTGAGGATTTCTTTTCTGTTTTTTTTTTAATGTTGATGCATGAAACACTTAAGTAAGAAATAAGTTTGAAAGAAGGTTTAGAACAAAAATATTGGCCTTGCCCAAACAGCAGCCTTCCACTACACTTTCAATCAGACTCACTCAGATACTAACACTCGAAGAAAGCCTGGTATTTAAGGGGAAAAGCCCTTTATCAGGAAAATCTTGTTTGAGGTTTGTACAA